ACAGATACCAATGTACAGAAAAAGAGGTGCAGGTGTACTACAAAGTCTTCCCTTCAGCAACAAGGCACGGGTTTCTGGGAGCAGGAGTGATAGAAAGACCTCTTTCCTATGTGTGGGGACTAGTGAGAGATCCTTGCAAAAGGCATCTGTATGACAGATCTATCAATACAGCTCGAATACACAAGAAGGTAACCAGCCACATTCACCTGGGTGAGTATCCACACAAACGACTGACCACCTTATCATTAAGATGGACTTTCTCAGCTCAGGTTGTCAGCCAGGAAGAAATTTAGAGGCATCTTGTTTCATTTATTCAGGTCCAAATAAACATTTTAATTAGGAAATACGGGAACTTCAGCTTTGCAAGACTTTTCCAAAATAAGGATTAATTAACACATCTTGCTGAGAAGTACAACTAAAGTACTGAAAGTAAAGATAAACCTGAAGTGGCTTGGAAAAGCATTTTAATGACATATTACAGCATATTAACTAGAGCTCTGCTTCCAGGCAACAAGTCAAAATAAAATATGCATCTTCATTTAAGGGGTAGGGGAAAATTGTGACAAGTTAAAGTTGTCAGTCTAATTCCCCTTTTTTGTTGTTTTGGGTGTTTTCTTTCCCCAGTATATTTAGTGACCGATACCTCCCTATGTTACCTAAAGCAACCCCGGGATTTCTGCTGCATTACTGTAGAAGCCAAAGAGGTAAAGTGAACATTCTCTCTGAAGCATAGAGGAGTAGTTGTTCTGATATCCTTGTTCAAGGACAAAGGAGAGAAAGAAGTAAAGTTCATCTTCCTATTTCCAGAAGTGCCAGTGTAACAAAAAGAAAAGCCATGCCAATATCACACAAGTGAATTATGTATAAAACGGTCTTGTGAATGACAGTTGACAATCAAAGCCCATCAGGCTTTGACATAAGTGTCACACAGTCTATTCTGGTTAGAAACATGCAAGATTTTGACAAAAACACATTTAATATATCACATGAGAAATAATATTTCTCATTAAAAGAGCTCTTTTTAAGTAAGTAATATGATAAATATGCCTTATGGCAAACAAAGATATTACTATTTGCACAAATATACTACTATATGCATAAGAAATTTTTCAAGTTGTCACCTTTATATCTTGTCACATGTAGGAGAACTTGTCTGTCCTGGCTATTCAGTCTGTTTATGATGCATCCATGCCTCATCCTTGTAAAGAAGCAGTGAGGGGAGAGATTTTGCCAAGTGCTTGGATACTGGAACCTGACATAGTGAATGGAAGAGACATCACCAGAGTTATTTACATGGCACAGGTAAGATTTTGCTGTACGTCCAACTGTGAATGCAAAAAGCCTGTTACATAGCAGAACACTTAAGAGCTGGTAACAAAAACCACAGTCCTTATGCTATGCTCCATGAACTTTATGAAGTGACCATAAAAATTACCTCTACTTCACACTGTAATCTGGCATGATGCATAGCAGTGCCTGCTAGACAATCTTACTAGGATTGCAATTAAGCACACATTCCTGAGTTTTTACAGCATCTAAAGCTGCTTGTTTGGATACCCAGCTCTTCTGTAAAGGTTTATTAGCAGTTTTAGTGTATGTTTTGTTCTCACATGGCAAGCCATTGTTTGCGTTTTTGTCTTACTGTGGACACAGGAAGTCTGCCTTGGGTTATACTATGTTAAAAAATGTCTGAAAATACTCGTTAAATTTTTCTAGCCTAAGTCATTAATTCTTTACAGTTAATAGACACAAAGAGAAGTAAATATTAGTATTCCAGTTAAGAATTAAAAAATCCCACCATCCATTTCTTACAGACTCATCTGAAAAGTAGGCTCTCTTTGAGACAGTAGAACTTAGTATTTAAAAGTGTCCAGAAGAAAATGCCATAATGTGTTAAATTTATTTAAGTGCTTATGTAGAGATAAATGACGTGTCTCAAACTAGTAATATTTAATCCAAGCTCAAATTCAAAAGCAATGTGGGTCATACCTGCTAGAAGTAACATCAAATAGCAAAGCTTTGAAAGTCTATGGAGTATTGGGAAGGAAAAGATACAAACCACACAGTAATGACAGCATTTGGCTGTAAAATACTGTTGTGCTTAACGTATACTTGATACATCAGAGCTGTTCCAGGCTGGAGAAGTGTTCTGTTGAAAAACAGGTACAAACCTTAACATGCAGCCTCTCCTCTAATTCCTGCAGGTGGATCTTGGGGCCCCAGCTATCCCTGCAAGGCTCCTGAATTCCATTGCAAAGCGGCAGCCCCTGGTGATTGCTCGACTGGCACATCTGCTTGCTAGTTAGTGTTTGGTACAAACACAGACACTTCACAGCTGCTGACATTTCACAAGGAGAAATAAATGTCAGTAAAGGTAATGGAAAATGCTGGCTCCTAAGGCAGCCACCACCAAGCCTCACTTCAGGAGCCTTACTGCTAATGCTGGACTATACAGAAATATAGTCAGAGAAAAGGATCATTTGTTTTAGCCAACACTGCTTAGAAGAAATGCAGCAAGTTTAGTTAGGAACCTATCCTCCTAGAGACAGCAGTGGGAAACCTCCATGGAACAGCAGAAAGGTGTGCTGTCTTTAAAAAGAGCAGAGAAAGAGACTTTGCTTTACAATAGCCAGCGTCTTAGAGTGTATTATTTAATTTCTGTTTGCAAGCAGTGATCAAGCTTCTTTCCTTCAGTAAGATTAGGCTGGAAGCAGTACATGTATGGCTTGAGACCTTTTACAAGCTCTTGAGCAGAGCTGCAGAGCTGCAAAGCTACTTTCTAATGTTGAGATAAGTATCAAATGCAGAATTCCTAACTGTGTAGCTAAATCATTTATCTTAGCTAGCTGCCTATCCTGTCTTCCCCTTGAGAAGTTAAAGCAGCACAATATCCATGAGTCATCCAACATCCTGGATAGATTTTTCTCATGTAATTGGCTGTCTGCTTGCAGCCAGTGTAAGGTGTTTCAGATTGCCCACTACACTATGCAGCATCAGTGGAAACCAACACACCTCAGGACAGTTTTACTGCACTGCAGAATCAGGTGCTTTGAAATAAAGAAACCAAACAGACAGTTCCAAACAGTGACACTTTGTAATGACTAGGGTAATACTCAGTAATCAGCTTGTTTCTAGAATTTAAATCCTGCAAGTAAGAGTAGCTCCAACATTTTTCCACAATGGCTTTTTCTATTAGCCCTTCTACACGTTTATGCAAATGCATTAAGAGCTTAAAATATCACCTGGTCATAGTCTTATCACACTTCTTTGTTCATAGCATGACCAGCTGATCCACTGCAGCAAGTATAGACCCTTCCCATTCAATTACCTCATGGGATTTCTCTTGAACTTAACTTAGTCCAACAAGCCTGCTGTCAGGCTTTACATGTTTGTTCAACATACTTCCTAGTTGGTTCACATATTCCTTAATTTAAACAAAACCACAACCAATTCAAATATCCAAATAACTTCATTTCATTCTTCAGCACAACAGTACAGAATCACTTTAGATATACCTAAGCAATAAAAGCTGCTATGTTATGCTTTCATTAGCTCAAAAAAGCCCACATTATTCAAGAAGCTCTTGCACTTTAAATTTGTCAAGTGAGAAATGTGTGTTCAAGCATCCACCTTACTGGAGTCAGTGCCTGCTACTTTAACAGTTACTTTCAGTAAAAGGTCCGTTTTCCCAGCATATGGTGAAGCTAGCTGCACTTCCTACCTTTGAGTTCAAGAGCCAAGATTTACTTTTACTATATCTTTGCACAGGTGTAATTTTGGCTCGCAGCTTCTATGTTACTTCCTGTTACTAATATATTAAGTTTTAAATGAAAAGACAATAGCTATTTTAAATTGATACTTAAGAGCAATTTTGATACATGCCAGCCTAAGGCTTCCCCCCTAAACTAGACCAGGTAGTATAACAAAACTTTTCACTTAGAAATATGCTTTATCTTTTGATAGTTGTGGTTACAATCTTAACACCAATATATTACTGTTCTTTTTTTTGTGAGGCTCAGCCTCTTCCTAAAAGCCTGCCAAACTGAGTCACAGCATGGCTCACTTGCAGCATCATGCATTTTTTTCCATAATCCCTCGAGGAAGAAGTTTTCTGCTGTGAGAGAAATGACAGATTTCCTTTGGTGGAAACCCAGAAGGAAGAGCGAACAAGGCGCTACATTAAAACCCTAATAAAAACGAGGAGAAACAGCAGCACAGCATATTGGGTCTGTTCCCGGTGCTGCTTTCACAAATTTCCACTAAATATTTGCTCAGTGCTTTGCTTTTTTTCCCTTTTATTTCGGACACGGCACTAGTGATAAAGCAGTTTTTGTAGGAAAAACATCCAGGGGGACTCCTGTTGTTCAACGATGCCAGTGCCTATGAAGGATAGTGTCTTATTGTACAGTGCATCAGATGTTTATTTTTATATATACTTTTTTCCTACGTTTACAAATTAAGTTATTTATATATGCTTGGTTTGAGCCGTTTTTATATGCTATCAAAGCTAAGTTTTATTTTTATTGGTATTGAATTAATGTAATTTTTTTTAATACACTCTTCAATTAATACTAAAAAGCCTATTTATATAAATGTTTTCTTTTGCAAATACAATATTTTATGGTACTTGCTAATGTATGGCATTGGTTTGTTTGGAAGGAAGAAACAAAAACCCAGCAGATATTGGATTTGTTAATCTACAACAGGCAAAACCCAACTTCCTGTAAGTTCCTGCTGAGCAGCAGATGATCAAACCAATTGTATTGAACCACCTAGGGTTGCATCTCTGCTCTTAAATCAAGGTTACTATTTTCATATCCACAATAAATGGTATTTTCTACACAAGAAAACGTCCCCCACCTTATTTTGCTCCAGCTATTTTTCCATCCAATATAGTTCCATAGATGGATAACACAAGGGCAAGCTTGTGATAACAGCTGTGTGTCTCCCACTTGACTGCTAAGGAATGCACATCAAATATGAACTTGTAGCACAAGAGTTAATAAGCCAGTCACTGCTTAAATTTGGGTTCTGTGACATATGTCTTGTCCCAGCAAAGGGTTGGTTTGGTTTTATTTTTGTATTTAAAAAAATGACATTGGCTGGAGCTTCTTCCTGAGTCCTGTTACACAACTCCCCTGACCTGCACATTCAGAAGAAAGTTAATATAACAGTTTTTCCTAATTTTCTTTTGAGAATTGTGAGTTTGCAGTAGGGAAGACTGGCAGAAGAAAGGCCACAGACTCAGACCTAGCTTTCTGTGAGCTCTCTTCTCCCTACTGCTCTCCTGCTTGCAGCACCACTGGCACTACAGTTAGAGCAGAGCACAGGGAAGAGGTGCAATGCCTGAGGCACTGGCACTGAGAGGAGTCCACCAGCCCAGTGGGACTGCAGAGTTGTGCATCCTCATGAGCACAGTCCCACTGCTGAGTGTCCACAGGCAGAAAATCAAATGCTATACAGTTGCTCCTAAGGTTTGGTTACAAAGTCAGGTGTCTGGATTTACAGAGCAAACGTGGCTGGGTACCATGGGGTTCCCAAGAACTACAGTAACTGCATTAAGTCATAAGAATGCAGAAACAGAGGTGTTTCTTACCTGGGTCCCACTGGACAACTGACTGTCTCCTGGTCCATAGGGCACAATTGTGTTCTTTGGATGTTGTAAACTGCTTCTGAGGCTTGGCCACCTTTCAAATAAATCTTCCAAACGTTGTATTAGAGAAGGATAATGTAGGTATGTTGAGTTCATGAAAATGGCTGTAGCAATGGTATCTACACAAAGTTTTACAATACCCAAATAAAATCCATGCCAGAGCCAAGAGCTCCTTTTTTTTTTGTCCCACTGCCCCGCCTCCCCCCCCTTTTATAACAAAGTTCTATTTCCGTAGAAGCAAAGCAGCAGCAGGCTGGATAGCAGGTGTTACTGTACTTTCTCTGCCCCATTCTTTGTGGCAAGGTACCTGTTTTGTTCTTCACCCTAGTACGAAGAGGTTATATATTGGCAGCTTGAACATGAGACAAGACATTTAATAATGTTTATTATGACAAACAGCAATTTCAAATGAGATCTGCAGCAAAACAAAACATAATAGCCTCAGGATGCAGGTATGGCATGATATGGTGTACTTGCTGCTTCAATTTGTATTCCCATGTCTTGCTGTATATGCAGCATGGCCTACTTTTAGGGACTCTCCTTCATTCACATCAGAAAACCCCTAAAATGAGCAATGCAGATGGAACACGCCAAATCTTTCAACACAGGGCTTAGTAAACAAGACAAGTCTCAGTACAGTTCAGACATTGATGTGCCTCTACGGTTTCTCTCTCTGCATAAGATATATTTTAACAGAAGCTACACTTCTGCCTAATGAATCCTGTCTGTGGTTTTTCTTAAATCACGGACTCCAAGATGTTCCCTTTTCTCACCTTATACAAGGAAGAGGTTAGTTAAATAGCAAGCTAAAAAATCCTGGTCTTTACTTTGTCTGGATGTTGTTCTTTAACACAGAACTTGCTTTCTGAAAAAACCTACACTAATAGGGCACTCCTAGACAAAAGGAAGTAATGTCCTCACTGCTACCAGGCAGCGGGCAGGAGATCCCATGAGACAGCTAATGAGCTAGTCAGCAGCAGTCCCTGCCACAAACCCCAGTTTAAGGAAATACTTGGGGAGATCATATCCTTGGTGACAATCTGCCTGTAAGGGCAGAAAAATACCATTGTCCTCCAAGAAAAGGACTCCTTTCAAAATCTGCTCTCCAGCGAGCATCACAGTGCTTTTTCACTACTTTGTCTGCTCTTCCAGGCTGTAGTTTTCTTGCTGCAGCACCTCCTGACCGAAAAAACCCAAAATCAAGGCAAGAAGAATTACAAAAACCAGTGGATAGCAGCCAGATGCCATTTATGTTCACATACTATAAAAGTGTCTTAAAAATACTGTCTTCAGTAAAAAATATAAACAGATATTTTCTCCCTTATTTCTATTAAAACCCCTGGGAAATTACAAGTTCTGTTTCCAACAAGAGATGGAAAACCACTTTAGCATCTACATCCTTTAAGAATAATGCCATTGATGATCTGGTGTATTTAATATGATTTAACTTTTAAAATGAGTCTTAAAAAATTAAAATCAAACCTTCAACACTGAGTTTACAATGAAAAATAAATATAGGCACATCTCTGTATCATATAGGTTCACGTTGTCCTTCCCCTGACAGTAGAGGCTTTCTTACAAGACAGCATGAGAAATCACATTGAGTTAAGAGAAGAGACAGACACCAAGGAACCGTCTCTCTGATCACAAAGACACTTGTCCACTTGAATTGATTCCTGGGTTTGGTCACAGCCTGTTGCTGCACAAATAAAAAAAAGTGCCTGTAAGTCTAAAGAACAGCTGCTCTGAGCCATAATCAAGGTGCTTAAAGGACTTTTGACTTGGAGATCCATTTGCTGATATAAATCCTTCAGCATAGTCACCACAGCAAATGTCCACGAACAGTGCAGGTTTTGCACAAAGTGACCCCTTATCTGCAGTATGCTCCCAACAAAGAGCTCCAAATCCATTCAGAAATGCTAAAAATCCCATTTGCGTCTTCATTAGTAATTACAGTCCACCTCTGCTAACTTTGTGCGGTCACAGTACCTAGAGATCGTCTGGTCAGCTCACAAGGGTTAGTCCTGAGCTCCTTTGTATGATGTTCTGATACAAACACTCTGGACAGCATTTTCAGGTCTTTTAAGAAATCCTGTAACAAACAGACACAAACCAGAGAACCCTTACTAACAGAAGTCAACAAGGAGACTTACTTAATTTTTCTAGTAAAGAACTTTAGAAGGTTTAACACATTGATGGTTTTCCAGTGATGACCCTAGATGAGCTACAGAACTGACTGCAAAGATGAATGCCTGTAGGTCTGCATGTTCAGTCTCCCACCTAACACCCACACCTTATCAGAAAAGATCACTGCCACAGTTTAAATGGTTCAACATCTCCAACATGCAAGTGCTCACCAGCCATGAAATACTGCCATTTTTAGCAAGGCATTCGGGTGGTTCCCTAAATTTTGACTGTGGCCAGAATAGTGTGACTCCTCTAGAACAGTCTGACTCCTCTCACACTCTAGTGGTAAGAGTCACAGGGTTTTAAAGTGCACTTTGGGTCAGTTAAAACCCTTCCCAACACATCATTCTCAACTGGAATGCAGCAAGCACATTCAGGCTAGAACTGAGAGCTGGAAACTGGGCCAGCTGGTTTCAAAACTGGTTTACAGTTTTCTTGGAAACATTTTCGCTGCATGGGCAATGTTGGATTCACACAAGTACAGCTTTCAGCCAAACAATAGCAACAGTAATAAGCTTGCTAGAAGCCAGTCCTTGGGCTGCATTAAGCAGGAATGACAGACAGGAAGGTTAGAGGCCTTACCTATATGAAATAGAAATACAAGAATTGGCTGTTTATATAGCTTTACTTTTATTTCACTTATTTTTCACACACATCTAATTACTTACTGAGGGCCAAGGGAGCTCTTCAAGGCTATGCAGGCAACTCTCTATTTCACTAGTTCTCATTAGTTCATGTTCTACAAGACCATGAAGCAAGAAAAGGAACAAATCCCACTGCAGAAGAGAAAAAAAGATATCAAAAACTCAAAAAGAAATGGATTTTGTGTTTGTTTCTTTATCCATACAGAATTCACATTTTTCTTTGGGATCAGAACATGGCAAAAAGAAGCAAACACATTATTTATCTGGGTGTGACAATGAGGACAAGAGCAACATCCAAACTGAGTGAACAAAATTCTTCTACTTCATACATTGTGTCCTACCACAGAGTCTCATAATTTCCAACTCTCAGTTTACCAACACACCAAGTATTTAATTCCTGCCTGTTCAAGAACAGCTTGAAAAATTATTTCCTCATTCTGAAATAAGCTGGTTTTAGCTTGCAACTAAATAGGGTGATTTTCAGCTTCATAGCTGGGGTGCTTATAGCACCAATATGCAGGCAAAAATGAAAAGCTGATACAAAACATAAGAATGCAACCAATTACAGAGTCATGTGTGCCCAGCCCTCACCACATTCCAGGCCAAATGGAGCATTTTGCCATTTGTTCCTAAATGACACTGTACCTTCCCGAGAGCCCCCCAGACAAGTATCAAACCCTGACAAGTAGCACGTGGTCCTCTCTTCACTACCCCTGCAGAAACAGCACCAGGTAAGAGCAGAACAAGCCCCACTGGCCTCGTTCACACAAGCCATCAGTGAACACTGTGGGCAGGCAGAACTCACACAGAGTATCTGACCAGAGCGGACAACTGGCAGCTCCACAGATTGGAACAAGCTTTACCTCTCGCAGCTTAACTTCTGCAAGGTAACTAACGTTCTTCTTGCTGAAGATCAGCTGCACAGGAACAGGTGTCCCAAAGTCCTCCTTCCAGACAGAGAGCAGCAGTTTTAGAAGGCCATAGGTGGGATCATTCTTTACACGCAGTCTCTCGGGGCTCTTCTTTGGGGATTTGACTTCAAGACTCAGAGGAACACGATCTGAAACTGCGAGAAAAGGATGAAAAATGAACTTCTACAGCTACATTGTTTCCTTTTATAGTCATCATCTTGGTACGACAGCACACTTAGTGAGTACAAACCAGTGAATCTAAGAGGACTGGAGTTTAGAAATATGCAAAATTATGAGCTTTGAAACTATACAGACAAGTATTACATAGGAAGAGATTTATACTCCTCAGTCAAAGAATACCATTTGGTTGGCATATAGCCCCCATCTGGTTGGCATATAGCCTCAAGTCTTGAAAGACAACTGACTATATAAAGGTCAGTCTCATATTTAATTGAAGAGAACCTAGGTGTAACTCCCAAGGAGAGAACAGTAATACAGTAAAACAACATTTAAATCTATAAACAGATTGAATAATTGTCCACAGTTTAGACTATAGGCAGAGTTACATAACTTCATACAAGAGAAATTAAAGCTGAACAGTGTTTAACTGCAGCTACACATAGACAGATGCAAGATATGAGATCTTCCTCAGTCCAGTGGAATGGGGCAGATTTAGACTGCTGCCCTCCAGAATAAATTTCACAATTAGATGTGAACTGCCTTCTGAAAAAATGAATCATGTATAAAACTTCTTAAGCAGGTTCTAAACCCAGGAAATGAGAAGGTTGCCCATTAAAAAACACCTACATTCAGATCACAAGCTACTGCTGAGAAAAACATTATATTTACACATTAGAGCAAGAGAAAAAAAACAAACTGAAAATGCTCACAGAAGTCACAATACACAGGAAACAAGTTATTTCCATTCTTTAAAAAAAAGAAAAAAAGCCATAAAAACATAATTTAATGGAAAAGGCCCTTACTTCATGAAAAAAACCCAAAGTCACCCACAATTTTTCAGAAGCAGAAATACTGGAAAACATATCCCATATTCAAATGAATGTATCAATAAATAAAAAACAATGGAGATGTGAACAAGGTCTGAAGGATGATTAGTCACTGTACAATTCCGAATGTACATTCCACAGAACGTAGAAGGGAATAAAAGCAACTACCCAAATCAACAGAAAAAAATCTGCAGACTCAATGACACCAAAGTGAATCAAACATCCACGAGCTCTAAATGCTTCAGTCTCTGATCTCAAGGATTTAAGGGAATTTTAATAACAGATTTCAGTCTTAAATAGCTTACCATGACTGACTTACCCAGCAAAGAAGCCAACTCAACAGAGCACTTTGCCAGCTGCTGTTCTGATGTGGGACACATGAACTGGAAAATACAAAAAAAAAATTGTATCTTTCTCCCCATACTACAAACTGGATAAAACAGGCTTCACAAGGGATAAAAATAACTAAGCAGAACAGGCAATTTACAGCAAGAAGCACAGAGCTGTAATCAGGAGACCATTAAGGACTGAAAAACAAGAAAAGATCATATATGAAAAGGGGATCCACAAAGGCAAATTGAAGTAACAAGCAGATCTGCATAGTATAAAAAAATGCAGTGCAACATTGCCACATTTGAGCTCAAACAAAAAACACTCAACTGAGCTCAGCTGTGAGGCAAGGCAAACTAACAAGTTTACAGGTATTGAGACAGCTCAAAGTCTCAAAGAATTTTTTTGTTGCTTTTATACATTTTTTACCTTTCTGCATTGAAGTGTCTGACTCAATCTTCCTAGCAAGCACTCCAACCAGACATAGTCAATCACTTCACCCTCATCCCGTGGGCCCACAGCAACACAGAGCACATCCTTGATGAAAAAGACAGCAGCAACTCACATATTAGTATCCTTCTCTTCCACAAACAAATCTTTGGACCTATGACAGACCACTTCATAAGTAGCCCTTGGATTTTCATTAAAATAAAGCTAGTACATACATTTAAAAAGACAGATTAAAGCTGAATTTTTCAAAACCTTACCAAGGTATGATTTTCTATGACAGTTCTCACTAGTTATGAAGTCAAATTCAGCGATGGCAATGAGTTCATCTTCCTTAAAAATACTAGCTCTGAAAGCTCTAGATAAATCTGACAGTGCAGCAAGCAAGTTCAGGGTAGAAGTGTTGGGAAACCCAGAGCCCTCTTATATTCTCAGGGAAGCTTCAGTGTCAACACAATTTATCCTTCTGTTTTTATTTTAGCACAGGCAAGAAAGCTTTAAAGGATGTGAACTTGTTCCCACTCAATTGCTGGGAAAGCAAAGACAATGATATCCAACATTACTGCTCAAAAAGACAAACGGCTGCAAAAAAAAAAAAGAGGCAGAACATGTAAAGGTAAAAAAGTGAAGTGTTCAGAATTCTTCCTTTCCTCATGGTTTACATAGGTTATATGATTGTAAGATTTTAACAAGAACAGTGACTAGTTAAAAGAGTGGGAGAAATAACCAAAATGTAATTTAAACCAGCTTGAATATAAAATTGCTTGGATCTAAGGCTAAAATAAGGTCCACATCATCACCCTCTTTCAAAGATATTCTGATTCCCCCTCATTATAACTGAATGAAGGTACAGACTAATGAATTTGCAGACTGGCAAAAACCTTTCAATAGATCTGTACAGATTCATCAGACACTTAATTCAATAAAGAATTCCTGGTGTATAATATGGGATAGTCTACCAAGTTCTACAGACTTGAAAGGACCAACAGGAAATACTTACTCTAAGCAGGGTCCAGGAGACTATCCATAAAAAGAGTAGGTCCACAAAAAAGTAACTATTTTGATATGCTGACTCTTCAGCATACAACTGTACACAACACTCACCATACTGCAGTTTCCATGCTAAATATATCAAGAAGGCCACACTGCCAATGCTACCAGAAATCCTGTATTTAAGACAGTACTCCTAACAGGGAACTATGATCAGACAGCAAGCAGGTGGTTAAAAAATACCTGAGAACTTTCCATTGTGCTTCCTAAACACTCCCCACAGTCAGTTCCTTAGAACCAAAACATTCTCTTAAAAAAAACTCGAACAAAACCCCACAAAACAACAACAAAAACAAACCATAAAAATTCCATAAGCAATGAACCAAAAAACCACGAATGTGAAAAACAGAAAGGGAGTTAGGTGAGCCAGGAAGTGAATGCTACATACCTTAATCTCATTGATGACTTGAGAGGGAAATGGAGCACAGTGCTGACAGCCTGAAGGGCAGTCCCTTCTCAACTCCAGAGTATCATCACTGGGCAAGGGAAATCCTGGGACTTTAAGCATTCTGTTGAAGGTTGCCTTCACTTCTCTTTTGATGAGTGCTACAGAGAACAGGGAACAAGTCCTGTCTACTTCAGTTTTTCTCTCCAATGAAACACAGAATTGTTTCCAAACACTATTAACCTCTCACACCGAGGGCCATGGCGAATAAGGAAAAAAGACAGTTTACACTTTCAAACCCTTCTCACTCTGACCTCCCACTATACTTAATGGGCAGAGGCACATGTGCAGAGGGTGCATTAACCCACAGCTTTAGAAGGCAGCCACACATTACTGCCAGGTACCACTGGCAACTCATCTCATTTTCCATCAAAATATTTCAGTCTGTTTAAAAAACACAGCAGCTAAGCCAGGAGGCAATGCCAAAGTAGAAAGCTGATTCAGCATGACCATACCAGTTCAGCCACTGTGCCCATGAAAGCCGTACGTCTTCTACCAAAATAAGTTTTGATCAACATCCAAAACACTAAACTCCTGTGGCTGCAAACGGTGCTTGAATATTCCTCACCAGACTCTTGCATAACCTCTTGAAAAAAATCGGTTTTCAGAGATTCTGAAGAGTTGCCAGAGCAGTATTACAGAGTAAAAACACCACACTTACCTTCAGCCTGCAGAAAAGACACCCAGTCCAAGAAGTGTTTGTTTTACAGAAGATTTCAGCTCTCTATACATGTAAACCATAAGGTGGCTTGAGAGAGCAGTTGTCTAGCATACATGGAAGTGCTAAGACAACTTTAAAATAGATGACATTTCCAGAAGGAGCTTTCCTTAGAATTCCCCCTCTCCATCCTATGAGACTCTGTAACTAAAAATCACTTCCATGGGTCTTAGAGCTACAAATCATTCTTCTTATTCCTAAACAAGGAGGGACAGGGCAACTGCACACTTCCCACTAAAAGAAAAATTAGTATGACCAAGTACTTTACAACAGTAACTGTTCCTTGACCTCAGGAAAAAAAAAAATTACAATGCACAGGTTAGAAGCCCCAGTTCAAAGTAAAAGGACTCACCTGCAATGTTGGCAGAGAGCCAGCCACAGGCTTTTTCAGTAGCCAGTTCCACCGCAATGTTTTCTGCACTACTTAAAACCTTTACAGGGAGAACAAGTGATAGGAGATTTACTACTAGCCACAGCACTACAGTCAGTGAAGAGTCAGAATGAAGTCTAGAGGAAAAAAAGCTTAATTTTGGCATGCAACAAATAAACAGAGCACCACCACATCTGTGGTAACTGCTAGTTTGAGCAATATGACTGACCCATTTTGATTTTCCAAACCTCAACTCTTGTAGAAGTTGATGCTAAAACAAAAGCATTATCCTTGCAAGATGAATGCAATTTATATAACATTCCAGTCTCAACTGTTACCTATGAACTAGAGTATCACTTTACTCAGAATATGCAAGGCAGCCTGGTAGAAGTGACTCTCCTTAGCTATCCGTCCTCCCATGAGGGCATTAATAGCTTCCCTTGACCTGAGCTATTAAGGGATAAGATACACAGCAATGGAAAAATGGTAATAATCCAGACTTAAAGTCAGGGCCTTTAATAAATTTTAATGAATATACATACTGCTGCAGATGTCTCTTCTGGCAACAACACCCTTACTGCCTCAGGACCTTTCTTTTTGCAAAATCTACAAAAAAAAGAAAGCATGGCACAGGATTAGTCAAAATTCTTGGACAACACTCAGAGGTTCATTACATGGCAATGCAATAAATCAGACCAAAAGAAGCAGACAAGGAAAGGGTAATTACAAGCCACCAAACTGCAATATCGGTTTTCCAAACAGGGGAAATACAATAGCTGCAGTGGATGTCTGTGTGGAGCTGGATGCAGAGGAACACACAGCACCTTTTCCTTCCCACAGATACAGTATTAACTGGCTGGAGGCACAGCAGTCACTCTAAGAAGAGCAGAGGTCATAGTTTATAATTACCAGAACCTGAGCATGACAGGCCAAGCTAAATTAGGCTTATGGATTCTTCAGTAAGAAGAGATGGGAAGGCAGAAGTTTAAATAAGTTTTCCTCCTTACTCTCTGCCTTTGATGAGTGCCTCGGCCCCTTCCTCACAAAGATGAGTGCACACCTCTTCAAGAAGTTTGTCATGACTAGCAGCATCCTCCTTCACTTTATCTTGCAACATGGCTTCAGCCCTTTGAACCAACTCTGCTACCAGTGTTGCCCTGTAAAAAAACCAAGAACAATCAGACAGACTGAAATCAGTACAAGAAAAAGCGCACACTAAGTGTATCCAGCTGTTCTCCTCAGTTTAAGGGGATACTCATCTCAAGTGCAATAAACAACTCTGCTGAAAAAGAATCAATTGCTGTATTTAGTACTGTACCATCTCCTTGCTCTGTACGCAAGGAAGAAAGCGGCAATGAAGATATCAAAATAGTACTAAGACTCGAGTCAAAAGCCTTAAGATTTTAGTAGAAATATATTTGGTTACAGGTATACTTTCTGGTAGCAATGCCCTTGTATGCTCAATGGATAGTGCTCAGAAGTTCAAAGATGTCAACAGCAGCCCAGTACAACCAGCATTCCTTATGGGCTGATATCATTTAATGTCCTCAGCAAGTTGGACAATAGAACAGTGCAAAACCCCGAGCAAGCTCATGAGTGACATGCTGGAGAGCAGGGCTGCCACACAGAAGGACTGTGAAAAGGTGGAGAAATGGGCAGACAATGAGGTGGCGACTGTGCACTGTACAGGCTGGGGTCTCCTGGCTACGGAGCAGCTCTGCAGAAAGGATCTGGGGTTCCCATTAGACGAAGTGAGTTGGCAGCATCCAAAGAAGGCCAACATTATACTGGGCTGACAATCGCAACAGTGCAGCCAGCAAGTCAAGGGAAGTTACTGCTTCCCTCACTGCCATGAGGCTGCATCTGGAGTAGTGTGTCCAGCTTTGGGACCCCAGGACAAGAAAGCCATGGACAATTTGAGAAAGTGCCAGAGAAAAGAAAAAAAACGTTAAGATAATTGGGATGCTGGAGCATGTGGCCCCCAAGGAGACTGGAGTAGTCAGTTCCACTTAGCCCGGAGAAAAGAAAAAGGTGAAGGGAGAAGAAAAGGTTACAGAGAAGACAGAATAAGACTCTTCCAGGAAGAGCACAGCTAAAGGTTGACTGGCCATATGCACAAGCTGGAACAAGGGATATTCTAATAGGATATAAGGAAACATTTTTCACAAATCCTGGGAAAGTTAAGCACTGGATGGTACTAAGAGGTTGGCTGAATCCCCATCCTTAAAAGGTGGAAACTTTTCCAATTGGAAAAGGTGTCAATAAACCTGATCTAATCTGAAAGCTGGCCCTTCTTTGAGCAGGAGCTTGGTTGCAATGACCTCCAGAGGTCACTTCTGATATGAGATTTTTCTATCATTAGCAAGAATGTTCTGAAAGGGATATAAAGTCTCAAAATGCTGCATTACGTTCACAACCAAGTGTTATACCTCCTTACACACCTCGTCTCTGCATCTCTTCAAAAATTCCTCTCTGTGATGGCAATAAGACATTTCTGGTCATAGTTTCACGTAGCCTTAGTGGTCTGCTATGCAGCATACTCTGAGGGAAGCCTTCTTTCCCCCATACACACAAGTTCAAAGGACCAACTCTTTGTCTCATTATAATGTAAAGTCACTTCTTAAGTCACAGAACAGATTACCAGCACTTACTTAATGTGCTTAACACAGTTGGATCCCACCCTCTCTGCCACAAATTCAACTGTTCTCCGTAGGGAAGAAGGCTGGTTGTGGAAGAAGGCCTGTTCCAACTCCACCTGTTCAAGAGAAAGTGCTACAGTTGATCAGAGCACTCCACCCAGACCCTTCTCTCATCAACACAGATGAATGGACAGAACTACCATCTGGAAATGTGCTAAAAGGTACGCAATTTGCCTACACTAGAACTTTCTGCTACTGCAGCATTCATCATCCCTGTAAATTAGTTACTCCCTATTCCCTTTTAGCCATTTAATCCAAGTTCGTTATCAGGGTTTCTGAAACTACAAAAGCACATGCTCTGGAAAGGGAAGAATGGGAGTGTTCTGACAGCACCTACTAATAATGAGTCACCACATAGGGCTTGTTTTGGAAAGAAAGGATCCTGTCTTCTAAATACAGGTTGGTAATCCTGTAAGCTCCTACACAGGTTGTTCTTTAAGCGGAAAGCATGGCTACAATCTAACCAAAACAACGTATGAGAAACATACCAACATTTTATATTAAAGAAGAGGGAGAGAGATAAACAGACTAGTTGTTCCAATTGCAAGAACGTTTACTGAAGTTATCTGGATTTCAACACCCACATGGTATCCCAGCCACACAACTGTAACAGAAAAACAGGGAGAGAGGATACCTGACTGTTAAGCACAATGTTCCCTGCTGCCCAGGCCCATTCTCTTCTTTCCCTGGCATTAGGATAATACTGCGTACAATCAATTTCTCCTGCCCCATTTCCCCTTCTGACTCCCTAATTTTATTACCTGCAGTTTCTGCTGCGTGACAGAAGCCTTGGGTGCTAAAGACTCTGCAGCTGTGGGAGTGATTTTTCTTATAAAGCCACCATTTTTTGCTCCACTACCAGCCACAAAAGAGGCAAGTAGTTTACGCAGCTCACCTGTACAGGAAAACATGCAAAACCAGTCATCATTGCCAAAAGCAAGGGGAAAAAAAAATTAAATCAAAACTCAAGAGAGAGAGTTTCACTTTGCCAGTTCTGTTCCTAGAGCAGATTACTTCTACAAAAGCGGAAGCTTTAGAAAAGCCGAGGAGTATCCCACACATTTAACTGGCACGGCATAGCAAGGCAGGCAAGGCTCTGAACAGAAAAGAGGCAGCTTCCAAAAAAGGGTCCATAGCACACTGAACTTGTTCAGAAGGATCAGGGAGCAGTCATTTTTATATATTGCTTTTTAATGTGGCAAATAAGAACTGTAAAGTCTACAAGGACAACAAGGCAAGCAGAGTTACACAAAATTCCAAAAGGGGCAGGAGAAAATACCAGAGGAAAAGCTTGATGACACGTTCAACTCCTAGAAGATTTTGTGATGCAGGTTTAACATAGTTTTCCTACTAAGTCCCAAGAAACAGAGCACCATATCACCATATGGTGCTCTATTATCTAACAGAGAGGAATTTTACCAATGGCAGACAATCCCAGGAAAAAACTCCCTCAAACAACAACCTGACAAAACACAAGGGCACAAAAGGATTCTTCCCCTCTGCCTGGAAGCAGAAATATGCTCAAGGACCAAAACATTCCTTGCAGTACAAACACCTCTCCCTATACCTAGGATGGAAAAGCTGTATACTTACTTACTCCTTATAATGTTTCTTTTCCAGCTTTTTAAGGATGGTTTCCCTTGTTCCTCTGTATTCAAGCCCTGTACATCACTTATCCTGTTTCAAAATGTAGCCTCCCTCCCCCAGCTTCACCAGATAGTATTTACAGCTCCATGAGAGCTGCAATAGAGCTTTTTATCAAGGTTGACTCATACACAACTGAGACCTGAAGTTATGAGGAGGGGTAAGAAAGATGATCCAAGGACTTACAGTACCAAAGGACAAATACAAACAACTAAATAAATTTTAAAAAAGTACTAATATATTTTATTTATATAGCAAAATTAAAAAAAATACTCACCAAGATAGGGACAGCAGGTATAAAGTAACTGCTGATCCACCAAGGGTACAGAGTCCTGGTGAGAAAAAGAAGGAAATGCTGAAAGGATACTGCAGGAAAGAAACAGTCTTCAAGTCAGAAATCCCATACATATGGTCACAGGAAGGTTTCAGGGCTGTCTTTCCATGAAAACAATAACTGGATTCCAAATACATAGTAAAATGATGAAGTCTGCAGCCCAAGTATTCAGTCAAACCCTGTAACACAGAATGACCTGCTCTACATTTTATTAGTGTAGCTCAGCCTTTACTCCTGATCACTGTGGAAGCAGAGCTGAAAGCTGTTTAAAGAAGGGAACCAGGACTGTTGCCACAGCTGCTACTCATAAGGCAGAAATCTATCCATGGAGAAGAATATATGAGGCCCATCTGCTATGCATTACTCTGCACAAATTCCTTCCCCCAGACTCACTGGAACACCACACTGTGGAGTCATGTCAGCCCAGTATTACACAGCACAGGCAGGGCCCTGGGAGGAAAAGGAACTTCAGATCCCACCCATAAAGGCAGTGTATCTTAGCAAATATACTCCTCACTTTTCAAGGAATACTATGTACCCCTTTGCATGTCTGGGAGTTATCTGAAACATCACACCTATAAACTCACTTGCTTTTCTGCTTGCTCATACTATTTTCAGTTCATCTACCCTTTATCATGTAACTGGAAAACAGGTGACCCCAAAGACACCAACCTTGCTCATACAGTCCCATCTTACTACTTCTGTTTACAATTTCTATTACTTATTTCTGGGAAGAGCTGCAGTTTTATCAGCTCACCTTGTACTGCAATAATCAGTGAGTAGGAAAACAGCATCTGATCCTCCAGCACAACATGGCACCTGTTCTGCAAACTATTGCAGCAGGTGAGATGGCTCCTGCCTGACAAAAAACCTAGAGCTGTAACACAGAGTTCACAACCCAGGATGAAATGCAATTGAGACACTTGGACAAACTGTGGCATCACATCCATTGTCCTACATATTCTCAATGCAGCTGCCCTGAAGCCAAGTTCCTGATAAGATCTTAAAACTCCTGAGGACCAGGTAGGTCCATCTTCATCCACAGATTCAGAGGACATGGTACTGCACTAACTCACCAAAGCCTGAGCAGATGTCACAGTATCCATCATAAATCTCTCCTGCCTGTCGTCAGTGGTAAAAAACAACTCTTCAGGGACTGATGGAACCTGAAACAGAAAATCCAGCAGTTACAACCCAAACAACAGTCAGTAACTTACACTGTTTCTGATAAGAGGACAGTGAAATCTCACCACCCTGCCACCAGCAAAAAAACCCCAACTAGTACTAAAGATCCATTCTGCCCTAAGCACCTTTCCATAAAATTAAATATTTGGTTTGATCACAATAACATAAGCCACCTTCCTTACCCTCCCTCTAATACCATGTTTCACATTTCCAATACGTTCCTGCTAGGTAGTTACCTTGCTTCCAACTGGAGGCACAGAAGAATTTTAGAAGTTCATCACACATCATCCCTTTATCAGACAAAAAATTCCCTAATAATTCAAAGCTGACAGCTAGCTGACAGCTAGCACTCCATCTTTGTGACAAGAACTTCCAGTTGTAACAGGAAGCAGCTGTCAATTTGCTTACAAGGATGCAGATTAATAAGTACAGAATGTGTTTCAGATGCAATTAGAACTCCTTTTGGAAAAAAAAAATGTTGCTTCACACAATTTCACTAATGGAAAATAATTCTCCATTATGATACAATTATTCTTTAAACCACATAAAACCCCACAACAAAACAACAAACTACTATTTTGCATTGGTTAAATTATTTCAATACTATATTTCTTGGTGGTTTTTTGCTTTTTCTTCAGGGAAGAGCTGCGTGCATACAGGAGACTACCTGAAAGAGCCAACCCAGAACTGCAAGGATCAGCAGCTTGTTCAGGAAACTCATCTTCTTATCTTCAGAAAGGACCATTAACCTGCCATGCAGCAGAATCAGCAAGAGAAAGTGTGAGTTTTCAGCACCTCCATTTTCATTAAGGAAAAAATTCCCAAATCGTTCACTTTCTAATTACACTATTACTTGAGTGTCTGCCAAAAGACTGGAGAGCAAGCTCTACTTTTTTTGTATGTACCTGAACAACATGCTGTCTTAAGTTTACACTGGAAAAGCCATTCTCTAGAATGTGCTTCAGATTTTCCTCATTTATATAGGAAAGTAAGCTAGAAGACTATTTAGGCATTGGAAATCTTCTAGGTATAAGGATCAAATTCAAGGTTTAAAATTCACAGCCGCTGATGTAGAATGAGCAAGTGGGGATTTAAAGACTTTAATTTACTTAATGAAAAAAACACATAACACATATTTGAATCAAAGATTAATCCCTGAGCTTAGGATATGCTCCCTTTGCAGTTTCATGTAAGATAAGAAGTGCTGATGATCTGCACCAAAAAAAAAAAAAGTGGTTTTTTTTATAAGAATCTCAAACTAGTGCCAGCATGCACTTCTTATCTTACATGAAACTGCAAAGGGAGCATATCCTAAGCTCAGGGATTAATCTTTGATTCAAATATGTGTTATGTGTTTTTTTCATTAAGTAAATTAAAGTCTTTAAA